CTACCCTATTGCCCGTGTCCATGGGCTATGCATATACTTATATTTTTTCTTTATCTCATCATTGATGTTTCTATCTCTCTCTCCCTCTCCCTTTATCTGAAATCAACAAAAACATATTAAAAAAATAAAGAAATAGAGGTGATAATTGTAAAACTCTGTGAATGTATGAAATGCCACTGAATTGTACACTTTGATTAAAATAGTGGATTTTATGTTATGTGAAATTTCCTCAATAAAACAAATTATTTAAATATCAGATAATATTGTATTCCTCCAAATTTAATAATTTTTTGAAGCCATTTCTGTTTTATCTTAAATTATTTAGTATAATTACTAGAGGCCCAGTGCATGAGAATTGGTGCACGGAGCGGGGAGGTTTCCCTCAGCCCTGACCTGTGCCCTCTCGCAGTCCAGGAGCCCTTGGAAGGATATCTGACTGATGGCTAAACTGGTAGTTGGAGCGCTCACCAGCCATAAGCCTGGCTTCTGGCTGAGTGGTGCTCCCCCTGTGGACACGCACTGACCCCCAGGGGGCAGCTCCTGAGTTGAGTGTCTTCCCCCTGGTGATCAGTGCATGTCATAGTTGTTCTGCCGTTTGGTCTATTTGCATATTAGCCTTTTATTATATAGGATTTCATTGGCTGATAATTAATATTACAATGAAACTGTTTAGTATTGATAATTTTTTTCATTTACTTTTCATCTTTTATCTTAATATGTTTATGAGATTAACAGGGAGGTACAAGTGTGATCACTTAGCTCTAGTGTGATGGGAAGAGGAATGAGGTGAGGAGCACCCAGAGCAGAACTTGGGGGTAGATGGGGTTACTTGCCTGTTCCTGCAGCTGTCCTGAAGGTCAGTGGCCCATTGGGCAAGGCCTTGCTCAGCTCTCTCAGGACGTCCTCCCGGCCAGTCAGCAGGTTAGTGGCCACACAGTGCTGCTCTGAATGGGGCAGAGTATCCAGGTCCCCCGGGGTCTCCAGCAGATTATCCACCTCCTGTATGATGTCCTGGGGGGATAGGGACACAGAACCAGTGGATCTTGTGCCAGAGAAGCTTCAGGAAGACCCTGCCCACTCAGCTTCTAAGAACAAACCCAAAAGCCTGTCTATTTGGGAATAAAGGTGGTACCCAATGGATTCCCTGGGTCTTTGCTAGTGAAATCCCCACTCAGAGGTCAACCCCTGGTCATGACTACCAAGGACAATGCAAGATCAGTGGCCAGAACAAGAGGAAAGGTGTTAATAGGTGTATGTGGTTCTAACAGTGAGTACAAATACTTGGTCTGCTCTTCCCACCCACCCTTGGACAGCGAGGCCGCAGAGCAGGGTGCCATTGTGTTGGGGTCGGTCTCTTTCCAGAACAAGGCTTCCTTGAGTCTCTATGGGATGCCTCTACCTGCCTCCCCTGGGTCCTGTCCTTACCTGGATGTTGTCCTGGGCCGAGGCAGACTTGAAGTTTCTGAGCAGGTCATGGACTCTTTCAAAGAAGTGAGAGAGACTCTGGGGAAAGAGGAGATGAGGCCTTAGTGGTTCTCATATATGGGTGGGGGAGCGTGGGGAAATGGGTGGATGGTGAGCTGAGTGGAGGGACCTTGCCTTCTGGTCTGGGCTGGAGTCACTCACCTGGCTCTTGATTCCAGGGGGCGGGATCCAGGTGGGGAAGGAGATCTCTGCAGGGGACAGAGCAGCTGTCAACTAGGTGTGTGTGAGTGTGTGAGTGTGTGTGTGTGTGTGTGTGTGTGTGTGTGTGTGTTGGAGGCAGGGTCAGGCTCTACTTTCACACTGAGTAGTCCTTTGTTTATTCAGGAATCTGGGCCCCTGTCCTCTCGATGCCCCACCCCCTTCCCGTGTTCAGTCCCCCTCCTCCC